CCAGCAAAAATATGATATTATTTATACAAATTTTGGAACAAGGCTCTGTTATAGATACAGTGAGTATATAGTTAAGTTGACACCAGAACGCACAAGAGAAGTGCAAAATATATGACAAAAAATAGGTCGACAAAACCTGGTAACTATATGGCTTGAATTGAGTGAATCTGGAGAGTTAAGCTGCACATCCTTAACATGGGGGAGCTTAAACTGGGGCCATTTAGAATCATCTGGAGAGTTAAGCTTCGCCCTTTGCTTCGCGGTTCACGCCTACGCCGTTCGTTTGTTTTAATTTGATATTGGGCCAATTATTGGAGAGCAGTAGACCACAGATAATACTAGTACTAAATTTTAATTTTTTGGGCCCTCAAATTTTTCGGCCCTGTGCGGTTGGGCGGCCTAAGCCTCCCCAGGGCTAGCCCTGAACATAAGTGTTCTTAATGGATAGCACTTTTTCCATTTGCTTCCCTTTAACCCATTCGTTTCTGAAACAAAGGAAACCACAAGGTCAGAATGTGGTTGCAGAAGGCAAAAGAATAATGATAACAATAATAATCCCTACAGCCTACACCTCAATTTAAATCAACTGTTAGAGTATTACAAAAAATAATAGTACTCAAGTGTCAATAAACCATGATCACAAGGTTCAAAAGGTAGACATAAACCCCAAACTTGCAGCATCAGTTTGATCAAAACGTTTAAACAAATAAACTATTCAATTTGCTAAAACTATTCAATTTCCTATAAGGATTAATTGACCAAACTGGATTAAAGGAATAATCAAAATTGCCTCACAGCATACAGAATCTTGTTCTCATGGACAAGGGGAATTGCCTTTGGGTTCCCAGATGGCACAACTCCAATTACATGTCGTCTTTCAATATTCGATAGTTCCAGTGGTGGTAAGGTTGGTGTAGTATCCTTGATGGACAGAGTAACTCCTCCTTTTCCTGTTCGAAGCCTATATATGGAGGAAGTGCAAGTTCAGCTCGGGGAAGAGTTGTGGTTCACTATTGATGGCTAGCACGTTGGCCAAATGGTGATTCATTCCGCTTCAGACCTTCAGCCTCGTACTACTCTCTGTGGAGACTACTTCTATAATTACTTCACATGTGGGTTAAACATTTTATTTGACGGGCAGGCTTATCGAATAAAGAAGTTTGCCTTGCATACCAACTATCCTGGGCATGTTGATTTTAATTCTTACATGAAGTGAAACTTTGTTATCCACACTTCAGATTTTGGTGGTTCATTTCATAAGGATGTTAACTATACACTTACCATTACACCGAATACGAAATGGGAACAAGTTAAGGAGGTGATGAAGAATGGACATATTGCTACTGTAACTCTCTTTCAGTCATGATGATACATAAGTGGCCTTTAGGAAAGGGACTGCATGGTTTCTACAAGATAGCAAGTTGACTCTCTAAAGTTGAACAACATGTGGGAGAGTGTCTGTATAGGTTTGCTCTATTGTATAGTTGCTAATCTGTACATGGTCTGTAATTCATGAACTCGGGTACTTGAATATGAACATATGTGTAAAATGACATTCACTTCTCACAATCGGATGGCTCTTTAGCTCTGTTGAAATGATTAAAATGATTCAGAAAAAAGAAAGATAAAAAAGAAAAAGAAAACTAGTAGCCATTTAGAACACTCTATGAATGCCAAAATCAAGTAAACTTTTCAATGTCCTAAAAGAGTAAAACTATAACATTACTAATTTACTATCAATCAAGAAGGTAGTCATCACATATTTTCATCAAGATAGACAAATAGAAAAACTTCTACTACCTAGTTCTCAACTCTTTTTTATGAAAAATAAAATAATTGAAGTAAATTCCAAGTTAAAGTTTGCATAACTTCGTTGAGAAATTTTATCAAACACCATAGCTGCAGTGCTGCACTCCAAGTTTCTATCAATATTAGGCTATCAATTCTCAATTCGTAAGTCATTCTTTCTACTCATGTGGACACACACTAATTACATACAAACCATCTCATTAAGTATTTGTCTCAACAAAATCAGCACATGTTTTTCAGAACTATTTTAATAAAAAATTAACTAAAGTAATACATCAAACTATCTTTACCTGGACTGCTTGACACTGGAGACTGGAGAGTAGAGGCTCTGGTTCAATATTCACCGAAGAAGAAGAGAATCTGGAAGCGGAAAAGAAGAGGACTCGTACTCGTTTGCCCCCATCTATGGCCGCTTGCCTGTTTCACCGAAGAGAAGAAAGAGTAGATTAGGGGTGAGGGTCTGGGCAGTAAAGAAAGACACAATAAAATACATCAACCGTAGTATTGTTTTTTTTTACTAACCTGTGTTTCTAGGCGGACGATTTCCGGCGACTAGTCGGTCTATGGGAGTTAATCCACATGGAGATGAAGACTCGCGGCTGGCATAGTAGGGATTGATGTTGAATCGCTGCAGATGAAGCCAATTGTGTATAGTTTGAACCGGGGAGGTCGTTTGACGGTGATACAGCCAACGGAGTAAGGGCTACGCGTCGACGTCGGTCTCTTCTACTCGGGAGTCTGGGCTGCGCGTCGATGGCGTCTCTTCTACTCTGGATCTGGATTTTCGTAGTCTTCGCAACTTCTAGACGGGAGTGCTTTACATCGACGTCTTTAGGTCCAAGGACAGGAGTTTAACTATTCACTCCGTAAAAAATACTCCGTATGATTTTTACTCCGTATTAAACATTGAGTGTCACTATTCTATATTGACATGGTAAAATCACTTGGGGCTGTTACAATAGTGTCATAAACGTCCAATGTAATGGAAAGTGTCACTAAAATAGTGTCACTGTAAGCAATTTTTCTAGTAGTGAACGTTTTCTTATTTGGGCAGCCTGCTATGGATTGACTCCTTCAATGTCCTCTTCTTTGAACGACCTGCATCGGGACTGGCACCTCATATTCCTCGCCATATTCAATTGAAATTCTTCTTCTCGGCTAACGAGTGGCAACGGCAAGTTGGAACGAGTAGGACAATGGCTTCTTCAAAGTTTTGATTGTATCAACTAGCGTGGAAATTTGATCACTTGCTTCTGGACAGGACCCCCACTCTCTGCTTTAGCCTCCTTGAATCGATTTTGAACTGCTGCATCGACAAGGCTATGGCCGGCAATATTTTAATCTCGAATTCATCCTCCAACTACTGTCTACAGCAACATGGTCAACAGTCAACACCTTCTGAGCTTTAAGAGACGATCTATTATGCCTCTTCAGGATTCTGGCTCCTTCATTGTTTTCTTAGCACCATAGCAGATTCAGCAATTTGGTGGTCCATCTTCTTTTAACGAGCTCGGATAGGCAGCGTCACCATCTCATCTTCCGTACCAGACTAATCCTTCTTGGGGAACGAGTAGCAGCAGCAACTGGGCGATAGTTTCTTCAAACTGAAACAACTATGGCGGCTTCTATTGAACATCGAACGGACATCATCTTCTCCGGCAAAGACAACATTCCAATCTGCAAACGGCGACAAAGAAGAGCCCTCCTCTGGCCGGAAATCAGGTTCGAACTACTGCCATACCTTCTTCTTTGACAAGCCAGACGCAGCGCCTTGAACAGTCAATCGACCCCGAACTGCCGCTCGATAACTCCGGCCGGCAACAATGGCTCCTCCCTTCCAAGATTCCTCTACACCTGGGATTTTGAACATCATCTCCAACCATGGCTTCTCCCAGCTGTGGCAAAAAATCTCAGCAGCACCATATATCAGTCCGACGGAAAAGAGCGACGACCTGCTCTCGGTTTTGCCCGCAATCAACCGAACGTTTTCTTCTTGGACAGAGCACCAGGCAAGAGCAGCAAATTGACACGGCATATTCCTTCTCTCTGCTAGGCATCTTCTACAATTGGGATTTTGGAAGCAAATTTTTATGCCTCTGGATGAGTTTGACCAAGCATGATAACTTCCGAAGCTTGAGATATCTCCTGCAATACAAAAAAAAACACTTGATAAAGAAAGAATGGAAAAGGTAATTCACCTATCGCTTTAGAGCGAGATGTTGATCGAATATATGCCTGCTACTTATTGATCCTATTCTTGGTAAAAATCGAGATGCAGAACATTGGTACCTACGGGTAGTATTTATACATAATTAATGGAAGAGTCCGAATAGGATTGATCATAGGCCGAGACCAGAATTATAATCGGACTTGGAAATTGGTGATGAATTAGGATCATGAATCTTAACAACAATTGGACTCCTAGTAGAGTTTTGATGTGATGGGCCAATAAAAAGATGAAATACGGAAATGATCAAGTAGATTCATCTTACTCTTATTTTCGATACTTGCTTTATTGCTCATTTCTCGCGCTTAAGCAAGTATCCAGAGGGCAATTTGTAGATATTGAAGATTAATTAATATTTTGGACATATTAATTTATAATAGTCCATAATATTATTAAGCCTTTTTACACACTACTAGATTATTCTCGATCATTTTGGGGCTCTTTCAAGTGCTATTGGGTCAATGATCAAGTTTATTGGGCCTCTTTTAAGCGCTACCGGGCCGACGTCAAGTTCTACTAGGCTGCTCGTGATGGTTGGTGGGTCTTATCAAGAAGAAAATAGTGATATGAATTTCTTGGGATAAAATTTATTAATTTAATTAATTTGGATCATTCGAAATATCCAATTAATTTAATTATAAATTAAATCTTTAAAAGAATGGACGGGTCCTATTAATTTCTTGATTTTGAGCCCATTATTAAATAGTGGTCCGATACATAAGAGACATGATCCAATTGATAAAGAGGACAACGAATCCGGTTAAGGAATCCGTCTGTGTGCATGGAAAATGGTTGCGAACCTTGTTAAAAAGGCTGTCCAGATACATTATATAAGTGCTGATTTTTCTAGCTATTAAATGCAAACAAATAGAGCCCAAAACCTATTTTAATTGAGGCCCATATAATATGGACGAATTTCAGCAACCCTAAGCCCTATTTTCACCCCATCCACACCTATAAATAGGGGTCTCAGTTGAGAGAGGAATAGAGGAGAACTTTCAGACGAAGAAACGCTGCAGCAAAGCTCTGAAGAACTCCCGAAAGGCTCTGAACGATTACGAAGAAGAGGAAGAGATCAAGCCACGTTTTTTTTAAGAATATATGAATAATCCTTAGTGATTTCATCTATTCTTGATCAAACAAAGCAAAAGTTGAAGAACGTTCGAAGATCTGAAGAACGAAGCTTGAAGATTCGAAGATCTGAAGAACGAAGCTTTGAAGATTCGAAGATATGAAGAACGAATCTTTGAAGATTTGAAGATATTCGTATGAAGATTGAATCAAGATTCAATTGAAGATCAAGCCATATATCCCAGGAGGCCCTTTAACAGAAGATCAAGCCATAAAACGGCCCTTTTGTTGAAGATCAAGCCACTTGAAAACCGGAGGCCCTTCAAGCTGAATTCTTTATTCAAGAAGATTTGAAGATCCGAAGAACGAAGGTTCGAAGATTTGAAGATCTCAAGAACGAAGATTCGAAGATCCGAAGAACGTTCAAGTTCTTGAAGAATTAAAGATTTAATTTTTAATTAAATTCTGTAATTATATTCATATCAAATTGCAAGTGAAGAATCAGAGGATTCATATTTAGAGATTGTACCCGATATTTTCATATATTATTATTTGCGATCAATTTTAAGTAAATACTTAAAATTTGTTTCACAGAATCATCATTGCATCGTTTCTGATTTTGCATTACAATTCTAGTCATTTTTCATTTCATAAAAATGATTAGGATTTCAGTTCTATAAAAAGATCATGTCGAATGCTACACAATATAATATGTTGTAAATTTATCGGTATATGTTTGAAAGATAATACTATCCCATTAAAAATGAAGTATGTAGTATGGTTCAAGTTTATTATTCCATCCTTCAATACAACTTTATTTAATAATATCATTTTATATATCTAACTTTAACCATGTTTCAGTATGTCGCTTTGGCATTAATTTATCGCGAACTAGCACCTTTTTCATGTATGTATTTTTATACAAGATAAAAGTATTTCATCTGTATAAGCTATTTTTCGTCAGCTAATCTACGTAAAGTACGACTTGTATATTCAAAAACAATACATCAATTGGGTGTCGTGCAAGAATAAAAGAATTAGGCAAGGTTCAAATAATATCTACTAAAATATACTTCTTCCGTCCCGAAAAGGTTTGTCAAATTTCCTTTTTTGGATGTCCCAAAAAAATTTGTCATTTCCATTTAAAGTAAGAAATATGCGGCTAAAGTTAATTCTCTCTCCTCTGCATAAATTTCAACCACACAATTTTTACTTTATCAATAAGTTTAGAGGTGTTTAAGAATTGTATTCAATAGTGAATAGTGTCTTCTACATCAGTGATTATATTATCTTGTAGGGATCAAATAAGGGGTCTCTATGACACCCACAAAGTCACAACCTCAAGGCAATCAACTAAGTAAGCAACCCAACTGATACACAACCAAATTACCACACAAAACCAGAACTATTGCAGAATATAAAGCACATCAAAGAGCAGAAATAAAGCACACGGAGCACACACGATTTTTTACGTGGAAAACCCTTCAACGTGAAGGATAAAAAACCACGGGACCTCTTGAGGAGTCCACCCTTAATTCTCTTATTGATAAATGAGAGTAAAAGAACCCCAAATCAGTCTACAAAGGATTCACAGCCCACCAACAATCACCAATAACAATAAGAGATCAAAATAGCACGATAAGGTGTAGAAATCACCCAAAAACTGCAGGTCTGTTCGTGCCGTGTTTCTGAGCAAACCAGAGCTCAACGGAACAATCCGACCGTTCAAAATGAAGCCCTTGAAGTCACGAACAAGCTGTCAAAATTTCAGAAAAATCCGACCACAGGAACACCTCCCGTCGATGATCTGAACAAAGCAACGTACTGCAGGTCGAAAAACGGGAATATGTCCCCAAAGCCTTCTGTTTTGTGTGTGTGTGTGTTTTTCCATCTGCCAAAGCCTTCCCCAGCTGATCTTTTACAGCAAAAGGAACTCCAAAAAACTTGTCTTACAAGCCCAAAGCCCAAAATCAAATGGATCAAAAAATAGGACATAAAAATCCATCAAACAAGGCCCAAACATAAACAACAAAAGAAATATAAAATATTGCAAATATGGGCTGGACCCATAACAATCTCCCCCTCCAGCCCAACACGGAGAAGACAAGCACTCTTCAATCACCACTTGAAGCTCATCCCTGCAAGCTTGCCACAAATAACAAGCTTGCTTCCGGGAACCACTTTAGTTAGCATGTCAGCACCATTTTTGTTTGTATGAACTTTCTTCAGTTTCATCAACTTTTCTTTAATCACATTCCGCAACCAATGATACCGAACATCAATATGTTTGGTTCGAGCGTGATACATGGAATTCTTGCTCAAATCTAAAGCACTCTGACTATCACAGAATACTACGTAGAGTACCTTGCTCCAAACCCAATTCTTGAAGGGTTGAAGGAACCTCTTCAACCTAAGCATTTCCTTACTTGCTTCCACAGCTGTTATACTCGGCCTCAGTAGTTGATAATGCCACACACTTTTGTAACTTAGATTGCCAGGAAATGGCTCCCCCTGAAAGTGTGAACACATAACCTGAGGTAGATTTTCTACTGTCAAGATCACCAGCCATGTCTGCATCTGTATACCCCTCAAGAACTAGTTTGTCACCTCCATAACACAAACAAAGTTTGGAAGTGCCACGCAAGTATCTAAAAATCCACTTCACTGCATCCCAATGAACCTTACCCGGATTGGATAAGTATCTGCTCACCAAACCAACAGAATGTGCAATATCGGGTCTTGTACACACCATAGCATACATCAAAGAACCAACAGCAGAAGAATAAGGAATATTGGACATACTTGCTTTCTCCTTCTTTGTTGTAGGACAAGCTCTCTTATTTAAATTAAAATGTGATGCGAGTGGTGTACTTACCGGCTTAGCTTGCTTCATATTGAACCTCTCAAGCACACGTGCAATATACTCACTACAACAAAATTGACTTTTTGTAACATTTTCTTTGCAACACTTTTATTTATGTTACATATAGTATCATCGGCTCACATTATGCAACACTTATTTATAAATGTTACAAAACGTCTAAATTATTCAAATTATGTAACACTTATTAAAAAATGTTACAACTATCCAATATTATGTAACATTTATTTTTAAAGTGTTGCTAAAAATAATTCTACGTAAGCAGGGGCGGAGCCAAGGGGGGTCAGGGTGGTCAGCCGACCCCGCTGAAAGTTTAAGAGTATAGAGCTCTGAAATATCTTCGATTTGATATATTATGACCCCCGTAACTTATTACGAGTAAAAAGTTATGACTTCTGGAAAATCAGCACCTTCTAAACGTAAAATAAGGAAAATTTGATGCATAATATTGATTATTTTTTCAAATTGTAAAAATAACGTATAATTAACTCATTACTTACGTGACATGATTCAGAAACAGAGCAAAGACAATTTATCTTATTTCTTATGAATGCCTATTTATCTAAACTACAATTGAAACATTCAACTCGAACATTGTCTCAAAACGATCTACCATTTTCTTTTATACATAATTGATTTTCGACCCCCCTGACCCATTTTTCTGGCTCCGCCACTGTACGTAAGTGTAATTATAAATAATACGGAGTACTTATGTAACATAATTACACAACGTTATGTTTCATTAGATGCAACACATTTTTTAAAGTATATGTAAAAATCATTTTCTTCAATTTAAGGGCAGGATGTTTTTATTTGGACTGTAATTTGATGTTCTGGTCTGAGCTGGTCTGGTCTGATAATGTGTGATCTCTTTGTATTTTATAACTCCCTCGTCTGTGACAAATTACAGTCAAGTAAAACATCCTTACTAACTCGGGAAATTATCATACACCCCCCTGAGGTTTAACGTTTTATCACTTACACCCCTATAGTTTTAAAAATATGCAACAACCTCCCTATATTGTTTGAGAGTGTTAACTTTAACGGAAGACTGTTAAACTCAAACAGCCAAAGTTAGCAAGCTAAATAAAAGCACAGAACAGATTGATCGAATATAAAAAAGGTCTTATAGAACAGAATATGCAAAAGTTAATTAAAACACAGAATAGAACAGATTGCTCTTCAACACTATGGCTGGGTATTAATAAGAACGTACATGAGGTTCATTCCTATTTAATTGAACAAGACCACAAACGGCCAAGTCCTTATATGACTTTTTGAAGCGCAAGCGTACATCTTAATAATATGTACTACTCGTCTACTCCATAACGTATTAACAAATAATAATAATAATAATAATAATAATAATAATAATAATAATAATAATAATAATAATAATAATAATAATAATAATAATAATAATAATAATAATAATAATAATAATAATAACAACACTAAATTAAAAACAATCCCAGAGTTAGCATGAAAAATTAGAAACTATTCAGCACACAGGTTTTGAATATCACATGTTATACGTTACTACATATACTAGAACCCTAAGCAGAATATGCAAAAGTTAATTGGAGTATCACAAGCTATCCTGATAAAGCTAATATGGAGTATGTAGATACACAAGCTTGATCATATACCCATCTACTTTTAACTCTTTTTCCTCTGGTAACACCACTTGATATGATGACACACCCATTTGTGATTGTTTACTTGCTTCAGGTTTTGAAACTGAAGATGGTCTTCTCTTTTTTACCCTGAAAGAGATTTGTAGAACTTCTATTTGCTAAATCTACATGTATGTGTAAAAATCAACAAGCACTCTCATGGAGAGCATCACTGAGCTAGGGCTTGAGGATTTTTTTTTTTACAGAAAAGAGGTTTAAGAAAATTGGGGTATGCGATTATGTTTGCAGGTTAAGTTATTTAAACCTTATCGTTAAAGTTGACACTCTCAATGATAAGAGGGAGGCTTGTGCATATTTTTAAAACTATAGGGGTGTAAGTGATAAAACGTTAAACCTCAGGGGAGGTAGGTGTTAATTGTCCTACTAACTCTTATTTTACCATCTCCCTTAATTTTGATACTGGAGTATTAGAATTTTTTATAAGGGAAATAACTACTCCGTACTAAGGTAAAAACACCATCGTGAACTGGCAGATCTAGCCGAAACCGCAGCTCCCCGGAAGCGTATACCATACAGCCGGCTGTACGGCTGGCACCGTACAGCCGGTGGCAGTTTTGTAATTTTCATGAAGTTCGCGGTTTCTCGTAAATGAGCATTGATGTAATTTTGATGAGCATCATATCGAGCCTGTTCTTCTGAGTATTAAAAGCCTAACAATGAGCACCAGTGATCTCTGCTTCATATTTTCTAATTCGGTTTCTTTTTATGATTTTTTCATTTATAAAAATTAAAAATCTTAAATTATGTTTATAATTAATTTCAATATGTGAATCTAATGTAGTATGATATGTTTGATATGTGCATCATTTTAAGATGAGCATAAAACAGTACCAAATGAGCATACATAATTTATAAAATGAGTATAAAAAAAATTCAAAACTTTATTTGTGTATGCTCATTGATTTTGGGCGTATATTTGATATGTGCATCATTTTAAAATGAGCATAAAACAATACCAAATGAGCATACATAATTTACAAAATGAGTATCAAAATATTAAAAACTCATTTTTGTGT